GTGGAGTCGCTCCATGGTGGAGTTCATGGAGCAGAGCTGGAAAAACGGGAGCAGGGCAGTGCCAAACACCCCCTTGGGACTACTATAGAAACTCTGCTCCACAGACTCCACCGTGGAGCAGCTCCATAAAAAAATTAGAGTTTGTGGAGCACCACTTTAGCCCCGTTCGCTGGTCTGAAACTTGACTGAAACTGGTTGGTTGTGTGAGAGAGAAATACTGTAGCGGCTGGTTGATGAACAGTGTTTTGTGAGGAGGAGGAGCCGGCTGGTCTGGAAAAACCAGACCAGCGAACGCGCCCTTTAGGTGCTCTTACAACTCCATCCTTTTTTCTCAAGCAGAGTGCGTGGAGCTGAAACCATTTGGCTAAAAAATAGAGCGAAGCTGAAAAACGTAGAGCAGAGCAGTCCCAAACACCCCTAAGAAGTAAACAAAAGAGATTTAATATTATTGATCAATACTGAATTTAGAAGGTCATCCATGGAAAGTAGATAATTGCATTGCTCTAGTTTCTAGAGATTGGCATGTCGAAAATCTTTATGGTCATTAGCAGGCTGCAATAGAGCCTAAATTCGAAGCTAGTGCATCACTCTACAGAGTACTAGTTGCAAAAACGTTTTGTTTAGTCATTGGCCCTGTTCCGTTGTCTTATTAGTCATACTGTTTCAGCGAAGAAATAGTATTTTTCTCTCGTAACAAATCAGCGAACAATACTTTCAGCCATGACTTTTCAGCAAAGCGAACAGGGCCATTATTGAACAGAAAACCATTCCTGCAAAGCTAAAATGTTCAGAGAATTGCTGCAACTCCTGTCAATAATAAAAGTCTAAGATTCCAACCCCTTACTTAGGCTCTGTTCGCTTGAACTTATCAGCCATACCATTTCAACGAAATAATAGTGTTTTTCTCTCACGACAAATCAGCATCAGCATCAGTCATTTTTTCAGCCAGTTGAAAAGACCCTTAGACGGTTGGACCAAAAATGAAACAAATGATTTGTACTCCATGGAGGTTGAATGCCTAAAAGGCTAAAACAAAAGCATATGTCACAAGGCTTCGGAATAATAATATTTAAAAAAAAATATTGGATAATCACTAACTTGCTGCCACACTTTCCTATGAGAGAATTCCTTATTTGACATCAGAAAAATGACTCGTTCCTTTCTTGGCCCTCAAAAAATTTTCGTTCCCTATTTGACACCGAGTTCAACTTTCATTCCTTATATGACACTCCGTTAGATTTTCCGTCCGTGGATCGTTAATCGCGCCATGCGAAAAGACAATTTTACCCCCTGTGTGGCCCCACCACCCTCTCTCTCCTCTCCTCTCCCTTCTCCCTCATCTGCTTGGCCGCGTGCTGCCTTGGGCTCTCGCCCATGAGGCCGGCCCACCTCCAACCCCGACGGTTGGTCACACCGCCTCGCCCACCTCCAACCCCAACGGCGGCCCTTTGCTTTGCGACGCCACCTCCTCAAATCCGCAACTTTGTCCCTCGCCTCAACCCCGCTCTCCTCCTCGTCTCCATCCGCCCCCCGCCACGCACGCTTGCCGCCTCCTCGCCGGACCTCGGCGCCTTCTCTCGCTTGACTCGCTCTCTACTCGCCGCTAACGCCTTTTCGGGCCCCGTCCCACTCGAGCTCGGCAACATGCCGCCGCGCTCTCCGTGCTCGACCTCGCGGGAACCGCCTCGACGGGACCCGCCCACCTCCATATGGAACCTCGCAGCGCGTCACCGAGCTCCGCCCCACGGCAGCGCTCACGGGGCCGTCTCGGCGCTGGCCGGCCCAACACCACCACGACCGCCTCCGTGTCCTTGACCTCGACGCCAACCGCTTCTCCGGCGGCTTCCTGCGTTCTCACCGCGCCCGAGGCTCCTCGGGTGTGTGGCCCTTTGGCCGCACCGGCCACAGGATTTGACCTCGGGCCTCAGCTCTCATTGCGTCACCGGGATGGTCATCGGCCCCATGGGCGAGGAGCAAGGCGGCATGGTAACAAGCGAGAGAGAGAGAGAAGGGTGGTGGGGCCCACAGGGGGTAAAATCGTCTTTTCGCATGGCAGTTAACGGTCCACGGACGGAAAATCCAATGGAGTGTTATATAAGGAATGAAAGTTGAACTCGATGTCAAATAGGGAACGAAAATTTTTTGAGGGCCAAGAAAGGAACGGGTCATTTCTCTGGTGTCAAATAAGGAATTCTCTCATTTCCTATCTCCATTCCCTGATTAGTGGACCCATTGTTTCCAAAACTAATTAATGACAAGCCATTAAATCAACAAGAAACATCGTGTTACTAAATCAACTGAAAAAAATCATGTTTATTTCTTAATATAAGTTATGTTGGACCGAAACATCAATTATTTGAGTTCAACTAAATATATATTTAATTATTTATTTTTGAAGTTCTATGTTCACTAATCTATCAATAATTTAATTTTCAGTTACGACAAATGTGTGAAGAGTCATTACTCATGATATGCATACATATATTTATGCATAATTATTGGATACAGCTATTAGAACTTAGCGTCCGCTATCCGCGATTTGCTATGTAGACATCAATTTGCAACAAACACGTTGTTCGCTATTTATTAGCTTGGGTTGGGTCCCAATTCCCAAACTGCTGTTATCGGAGAGGCTGTGTACAAAACATTCGGAGCATCCGACTTACTACTCTATCTGCCCAAAAGGAAATCCCTCCGTTCAAAAACCTTATATGTTTTTGTTTACATCGGAATTTGGAGGGAGGATCTCAGAAGCTCGAGAGCTCTCAAAATCATGTCAGCAAGGGATCAATTGCGTGTGAATCGGAACAAGCTGATTCGGATACAGCACTAGAATCGGCTTTCTTCAGATAGCGCCAGCAGATAACGACAGAGGCTATGATCGGCGCTGGGACGAGACATGCTAGACTCTATAAAAAGGGAAAGATTAGAGTCCAAGTTGTCTTAAATTAGGAATGTTTTTGTTTTATGCCAAAGATTGTGACAAATCGTGCTCGAGTAGGATTCATGTCTAGACTCCGGCTATAAATATCAAACCCCGGCTATTGTAAAAAAAATTAACCAATCAAATACAAAGTCAATTACTTTTTTCGGCTTCGGCCACCCCTTAGGAGTAGGAGTAGAGTAGATCTCGGCGAGTTCTTCAGCAAATACGGCCGCATCGATCCGGTCGACCTGCACTGCTTGTCTGTAAGTACCGTCATGGTTTATACCTCTGTTCGTATGGCTGCATCGATCCGGTCGAACCCCACTGCGACTTTGGTATAGGCTAGTTATCGACTCTTGTCTAATTCAAGTATGGCATGTGTGGTTCTGTCTCACACCCCACTGCTTGAATTAGATCAAGGTCAAGTTATCGGCTCTACCTTAGCATGACAGTCTTTACTAGATTCATTAAGTTACCGATATTGCTTATTGTTTTCATTGTTTATCTAATTACAGCAATATCACTCTGTCCGATTAAGATTGATCTGGATCGGCCTTACATCTTGCTTAACTCATCGTTTGCTAATCTAAAACTGATCTAATCTATATCTTAAGCGATGAGTTATGTTTTTATCGGCTATTTTGTGTCAATCTTAATCGTGCATAGCGTGCGATTAAGGCATGTCCGATCTTGAGTAGATCTATTAGTTAATGAAAACCGTTCCATGGCCCGTCATCACGGCCTGTGGGATTCTGCCTCTCACCCCACTGTTGGCACCGTGGAGTGGGGATCGTTAGTTGGTAAACCCGTTCCTGAGAAGGCATGACCTTAACTGTGCGCTATGCCTGAATCGGCTGTTTAGCCGATATCGAGCGCTTTCACGAACAGTTCACATTATAAGATCATTGAAGTAGATATAAGTTGAAAGATATGTTAGCCCCATAATTTTGTTATTGTATTACGGCCTGCATGATTCTGCCTCATGCCCCACTGATATTAGTAATAAGTTAGGATCGTTGAGTCTATTGTTGTTTCTACGGCCTGCATGATTCTGTCTCATGCCCCACTGGTCATGACGATAGATGAGATCTAACATGTTTATTAGATTTATCTTTATTAAATGGTTAAGTGGTGTTGAATTGTTTCTTTATATAAAAAGGGGTTCGGTTATTTGTAATCATTGGCTCAGTTTAAACCGTTCATCATTAATATCTTATTGCCATTGGTTAATTTTTGCTCGAATTATATTTATTCTGAATGATAACCGATTCTTCTTACACAACCACATGAGCTTTAATCGATTTATTCTTATGAATATGCTGGGATCGACTATTTAGTCGATCTCTTCTCATATTGGCTCTCAGAGCCGCATATTCGGGACTGTCTTGTAACACCGGCACATTCTGCCCTTAATTACTGATAAGCTTTCTCTCCTTGTTAATTGCAGGGTGAAATTGATTGGCACGTCTCGGGAGGATTGCGTAGGATCAACCACCCTTGCGCTGAAGCTAGGCGGATCTGCTCCATCGAGCAGACCCTTCCGGATTGTTGCGTGTGTCCTCGGCACGGAGACGAAAATTCTGTATCTACAGTTTTGATGAAGTGGTGTTTCGAGGTATATAACTTTTATTACGCATCTAGGTATACGCTATGTCTAGATATATTATCTAGAAAAGTCAAAATATCTTATAATTCGTAACGATGGAAGTACATGATAAATTAAGCAATACTAACTTAATAATATCGGTGCATTTTTAATTAAATTTGATAATTTGTAACCATTTTAATTTAACTATACCTATAATAGCTTTCTACGGAAGAAAAGTTCGTAAGCACGATAGACAAACAACAAGCCTGTGGTTGGGTTTAACATAATGATGTCGCTACAATTTGAACATAAGATCCTCTACAAAAAGTACAAAAAAGTACAAAGGCCGCCGGGTTTTTTTCCCCGAGGAAACAAAGTCCGTTTTGACGATAATCGAAGCACTGACCTATCGAGCATCTTCCCTAATCACTTCCCACCTCCTGAGTAGTCCTGACTCCTGAGGTCGAGCTCTCGAGCGCGAGCGCCATGGCCACGTCTCGCGGCGGCAAACAGCGGCAGCCGCTCCTCCACTCTCCCACGCCTACAGCCGCCAACGGTGGCGGCGCAGCCGGGAGGCGCAGGTTCCTCTCGTTCCTCGCCGTCACGGCTAAGGATGAAAATAGTCGGAAACGGTCGAAAAACTCCTAAATTGTTTTCTACTTTTACATTTGAAATACGAAAACAAAAGCGAAAACGGTAAAGGCGGACACGAAAACGAACGCGAACTTACGAAATATCGAGAATTCCGAAAACGAACCAATTCGAGCGGATTTATGTCAAACACGGTCGATATACGAAAACTCAATACGGAATACCGACCCGTAGGACCAAGTGCATGACTAAGTACATACATGATCAAGTTCAAGTGCATATAATAATTAACAAGTGCATGATCATTGGTCTTAGGTATTTAACACAATAGCCGACACATAAATACAAGTCTAGAACAAGCAATTAGTAGCTAGCAGGATAATATGAATTAAAATTAGATGTAGCAACTAGCAATTGGGCTGTATGACCTGTGCAGTTGGCCAAATTCGGTTTAAACCGAATTTTGAATTCGGAATCAAATTAAAAGTAGAAAAGTAGAAAACGGTCGAAAAATGTCTAAACCGTTTTCTACTTTTACATTTAAAATACGAAACATCTGAAATGCGAAAACGAAAACGGTAAAGTCGGACAAGAAAATACGAATTTGATCGGATTAAATATAGAAAACAATACGGTTCGGTTCAGGATATTTCCGTTTCGCTTTCATCCTTAGTCACGGCAGCTCTTGTCGCGTCCTACCACCTCCTCGTGCCAACCAATTCTTCGCACTACCACGCGCTATTCCTCACCCTCGGTTCCAACGCCACCGCGGCCGCCCACCTCCGCGCACTCACCGTCCGCCCCCACGTCGCTGGCACCGAGGCCAACGCGGCCGCCACCCGCTACGTGCTCCACGCGTTCTCCTCCCTCTCCTTCCCAGCACATATCAGCCCTCAGAACATATACGAGCGTCTAAATCTAAAATACGTAGGAAGAATCAGTAGAGAGTATTTATATAAGAGATCCATTTTGAGTCGATCTATTTTGAGTTGTTTTAAGGCACAATCTAAATATGAACATCATCTCTTTTGAAAAACCCATTTACAGAAAAGATTTTCTTTTTTATTTTGTTGTTGAAAAAAATAGATATTGAATCTTTCGCCAAAGTACGAACCAGTCTAGTATTTTGTACCGCTCCCTCTCCCTCGCCGCGGCGCCCGGCCTTGCCGCCAGGCCGTTCTCCTTGGTGCAAGAGACCTACGAAGGCGACCCGTACGCCGAGGCCGCGGCGGAGGTCCTCCCGACGTACTTCGCCTACTCGGGATCCGGCTCCGTCACCGCCGAGGTCGTCTACGCCAACTACGGCCACAACGAGGATTATGCCTACCTCGCCTCCCGCGGGGTCGACGTCGCGGGCAAGGTCGCGCTCGTGCGGTACGGTGACATCCACTGCGAGGACATGGTGCGGAACGCGCGCGCCGCGGGCGCCGCCGCCGCTATCGTGTACACCGATGCCAAGGACTTCGGCGGGAGCGCGGCGAAGGGGGAGAAGCGCAAGTGGTTCCCCGACGCGCGGTGGCTGCCGCCGACAGGCGTGCAGGTCGGGACCCTGTACTACGGGAACGGCGACCCGACCACGCCGCTGTGGCCGTCGTGCGCGGCTGGGGACGACTGCGAGCGGCTGAGCATGGAGGAGCTGGACGGAAGCGAGGCGATGCCGGGCATCCCGGCGCTGCCGGTGTCGGCCAGGGACGGGGAGACGATCCTCAAGGCGATGGGCGGCGACGTGGCTCCGCCGAAGTGGCAGGGCGGCGAGGGTGTTGAATCTCACCTACATTGTGAGTGCCTCAGTGACCAGCAATTATTATCTGTCGGGTAGTATTGTCTGAATTCAAGGACGAATTTATTGATTATTGACTTATACGATTTGCAGGGAAACGAGACTTTAGCAACCATCGAAAATCGCCTGGCTGATTTAATGTGAGAGAAAAATATCGTTCATTTGCTGAAAATGTACGGCTTATAAGGCAAACAAGCCCAAGGGCGAATGTGTTTGCGGTGATAGAAGGAAAAGAGGAGCCTGACAGGTAACTAGTCTCTCTATACTGTATAGATTTGCATAATTTTGGCTAACTGCAGCCTGCAAAATAGAACACAACACAAGGCACCGAATTGCACATGTCATATGCCCATTTCTTCGACTGAGTTCATGGTTCCTCAGTTCGCAGATTGATCAAATTTGCTAACAGTGAATTCAGCATTGTGGCACATGGGAATCGTGAAACCATAAAAATTAAATATTGTTTGACGTATTTGCAGATATGTGATCATAGGCAACCATCGTGATGCTTGGACGTTTGGAGCAATTGATCCTAACAGTGGAACGGCAGCCATGCTTGAGGTAAACTACTACTACTGAATATAGCATGCAAATCATACGACTATACGAGGCCATTTTGATGGCATATTCGACAATTTCAAGAAACTCTACTTCGAAAAACAAATTCTGAAGGCATCCAGTTTCCTCCCACTGTATATAGATCGCGGAGAGGCTGTCCAAGCTACAAGCGAAAGGGTGGAGGCCTAGAAGAACAATAATCCTGTGTAGTTGGGACGCAGAAGAGTTTGCCCTGGTACCTCCTTGCTCACTGGTTTACATATCCTTCTCTGCAAGTCACATGCTTAGATTAACAGTGTCTCAGATAGGATCTACTGAATGGGCCGAGGAGAACATGGACACTCTAGCTTCGAGAGCTATAGCTTACCTGAACGTGGACATATCAGTGTTTGGTCCTGGGGGTCTTAGACCCCGTGCAACCCCACAACTTGATGAATTGATCAGGGAAGCAAGTAAAATGGTATTCAAGCTCTACCCTGTTTCTATATTACAGTTTATGTAGACTCCCGTTTTACCTTCTCGTCATTTCTTTATTCGAAGGTACCAGATCCCGATGAACCATCTCAAACCTTGTATGACACCATGATGCGATATCATCCACCGGTATGTATGTTCAGCAGTGTTAAAGATGTTCTATAGCTCTGATCTGGTCCAAACAAGTGATGAAAAAGAGTGAGTGGATAAGAACTACTGTGGTACTTAAGTGAAAACATTTTTCCCCCCAGATCACTAGAGTGGCTGGTGCTGGAACAGATTTTGCAGCATTTGTCCAGCATATAGGGGTCCCGTCACTCGACATGTCTTATGGACTGTGTAAGTGAAACTGGTTTGAAGCATTAAAATCGACACCTCTCTGTTTTATCGCTTCAGTGTCGTGACAAATGAATCCACAAGATTTTTTTTAAAACGCAATGAATTCACAAGATTGGGATGTGGGAACCATGTTGGAAACATGGCTTTTCATTACCAATAGCCGCTAGGAGTATTACTTATCTAGCATTTGATGTAACACAATTTGCAGTTGAAGAATACCCTGTTTACCACTCGCTGTATGATAATTATGTTTGGGTGGAGAGGTTTGGAGACCCCTTGTTCCACAGGCATGTTGCAGGTACTGAACCATCTATTTTTAAAGAAAGCTTTCAAGTTTATCCCAAGTGCCTGCAAATCAATTTTCCTTGCATAATTATCCAGTGGCCAGCGTTTGGGGTTTGATTGCACTGAAACTTGCTGGCGACGAGATCATACCCTTCAATTACGTCTCTTATGCGTCCGAGCTGGAGGTACCACTTATTCACATTTGATGTACACAATTCGCTTCTTGTTTATTGGTATACTTGTGTTTATGAATCATGAGACATGAAAGAGTTGTGTCATCTTGTTGACTGCAGGAGTGCACAAAAGATATCGTAGATAAATATAAAGGATTTCCTGTCAGTTTCTCTCCTTTGCAGAAGTCCATCAAGCAGCTCGAGAGTGCTGCCACCAAAATTTACAAAGAGAAGAAAGTAAGACGTGACGTGTTTGACACCCAGATGTGTAACTTGCAAATTATAACTTTTAACACCTCATTTCTGGTATGTAGTTGCTGCAAGCAGAAAACTGGAGCCTAAAGACAAGGCAGTACACACTGAAAGTCAGGGAGATGAACGACCGGTTGATGATGGCCGAACGAGCGTTCACCAACCGAGAAGGACTCACCGGGAGGCCATGGTACAAGCATATGGTGAGTACAGTAGAGCTCTAGAAATAGCGTTTTGACGTGCGCTTTTGAACAGTGAAGCTGACAGTGACAAAACATTTCACTTCTTTTGTCCTTTTGCAGTTATATGCATCATCGGATCAAGACGACTGGGGGACCAAAGCCTTCCCTGGTATCGTCTCGGCCATGGACAAGGCTAAGAAGTCCAACACAACTGAGACATGGCGATCACTGCAGCATGAGATTTACAGGGTTGCAAGGGCTGTCCAAGGCTTCTGCAGTCCTGGATGGTAAACTAACATGATATGAAATGCAGAGGTAGACGGAGGGTCGCTATCTGTCTAGAATTCATGAAGAGGTAGGTTGCACGCAAAAGATTCCGAAGGCGACATGTGCAAGTCGACCCAATAATTTTGTATAGAATCACTTGCGCTCCTGTGCATTTTCACTGTGTCTGACTGGCAGCGGGATAAACAAGCACGCAAAATAGGTGGTGCCTGGATGCCGTGACTAAAATTTAGGAGGTATGTCGGGAAGATGTTGTACGAGGCGTTTGGATACTAATAAAAAAACAAATTACATAATCCGTCAGCACTCCATGAGACAAATTTTTAAGCCTAATTAATCTGTCATTAGCACATGTTTACTGTAGTATCACATTATCAAATCATGGACTAATTAGGCTTAAAAGATTCATCTTGCAAATTAGTCGCAAACTATGCAATTAGTTTCATAATTAGTCTATATTTAATACTCCATGTATGTGTCCAAATATTCGATTGGACAACGACAAAAATTTAGGAGGGGCAACGAAACACCACCATAGTAGGAAGGGCAGTAAAGCTGTTTTTTTAGAAAATGGCTTAATGAGCAACTTTGTAGGTGAAACTGAGCTATTTTGAAAATTTTGTTTGGCAAAACAACTTCATGCATAGATGGAAGAGAGAAATGAGGATGAGAGCTGGGATAAACTTTTTTTTTCAGCTTTATCTCAACTTATGTCTTTGTGAGAGGGTGAAAAAAACAACTTCATAGGTAAATCTATTTTGAAAACGAGTGTTTAACAAATAAAACAGCTCAGACAGCTATTATGAGCTGTGACAAATAGGCCTAAGGCAACATCTGGCTGCCACCTGCCTGTTAGCTTGCCGATCCCGTTTCCTTTTTTTTTAAAAGGTTTCTGTTTCCTTTATGCTACCAATTTATGTAGCATGTGCTCACGTGCTTAAAAAATATTATCGTTCTCCACGTCAGCACCTCGCAATGGAAAACCTCAAACAAACCGGAAACTCGGAAGGATGGGACCTTTGCCTTTGACTTGTTTTCATGCTCTCGCTTTCTTTCTTCACTCTGTCTTGCATCATGATTCATGCCATCTCATCTTCATGGCCTTCGTGTAGCTCGAGTCTTGTATTGTGGACTATACTTAGCGCGTGTTTAGTTTCACTTTAAATTCCTAAAAAGTGCTATAGTATCTATCACATCGAATGTTTGAGGTCTGTACATGGAGCATTAAATGTAGACGAAAAAAAACTAATTGCACAGTTTGGTAGGAAATTACGAGACGAACGTTTTAAGCCTAATTAGTCCATGATTGAACACTAATTGCCAAATAAAAACGAAGTCTGCTACAAAGAGCCCCAAATTCTAACTTCACGGGACTAAACACGCTCTTAACCTTTCATCTTACTTGAAAACATTAGTGATTAGTCTACAAATGTTATCATTAATTATCAAAATCCAAACGGGACTTTTAGCTTGCTATATCATTATTAATCCTATCGTCGAATTGGCAAGTACATTTACCACGTTAGCAATGTTTGGACCATTTATGCACCGATTTGCTGAGTATTTCACTTATTTGAGTAGTTTACAAGTTTTTTGACCAATTTGCATCCACATTTATGTATGGTCGATTCACACAAGTTACTCTTTACGTGGTTTTAAATACCACACCATGCCATCGCTATAGCTTTTTTAAGGCCTACCATTGAAAAGCCAGGCCGAAAATACTGTTTATTAATTTGCTATAAAAGAAAAACATTATTCCATGGTACGATAAGCGGTTTGATAAGTTCGAGTGAACAGGGCCAAGCTCATATAATCCTAAGAGAAGTTTAATAGCTCATATGAACGCTTTACCTTCATTAAACACCATCATTTGGCATAGCCAATAGCTCATATAATCCTAAGAGAAGCGAATTTTCATTCTTTGCTCTAGAGTACTCAAATCTATTACTTATAATAAATAATGCAATGAATTATTGAATTGTTGTTGAGTTTTTTTTATTGTTGAATGTTAAATGAATATGAATATTGATTGTAGCTATAACCAGCGAGTATATTGGTTGATTAAATGGTTGTCAAGTAATTGACATAAAGACATGCTTTTTGAGAGCCCGGGACATAAATTTAATTATTTGCGTGTATGAATTTTTCTTAGCTTTATATTTATGCAATGACTAATTAAATATTTTTATGTTTTTTTATAGAACCCCTAAATGGGATAGTTTTCGTTATAGACCTTGTTCGCTTGTCTTATAAACCGTTTTTCAGCGAAGAAACTGTGTTTTTCTCTCACAATAAATTAGCCAACAGTACTTTTCAGCTTGGGTTTTCAGCCAAGCGAACAGGACCATAGCTTTTAGAGGAAGCCATTTCTAAATGGTTTAGCCCGGGGATTTAAAACATTGACTCTTTACAAAAAGGAGGTTCTGCGATGATATTTGAAAGCGATGATCTTTAAATGCTACAGAATTGATTTTATCTTGGAAAAGAAACTGCACACTAAGGTTATTTTTCAATGAAGAGTTTTATGACGTTGTTTCCTAAACTACCACATCATGTAAAATGAAATAAAAAATGAATAAAACATACTATCCTGAATGAATAGTTTCATTCACTAGTTTCATAGACATTTGATTTCACGACTTATATATAGTTGATAATCGTGGTGAGAGAGTTTCATTTAAATAAACTCGCTCCTCTCTTGCTAAAAACTATGCTGTCATAAAAAACACCTATGTATAACAAAACTCGTGAAATTTTCACTCAGACTGACCTAACATGTCGCTGAGACCTAAATCACCTTTTAAACAGGGTCAACGGTCCAGCCAGACTGAAACAGACGTAGTGGTAGCACCACGTACCACTATGAGCCCGTTTGGTCGGGCTCCGAGCGGCTCCGGCTCCTCTGACTCCTCCCCTGTTCCATCTCCTGTAGCGACACTGTTCACAGAAGCTCGTTTTTTTCTCTCCTCCTTTTCTCTCTCACTGGCAGCGCCGGAGCCAGAGAAGCTCGTTTTTTTTTCTCCTCCGGCTCTAACTCTGCACGTAACAGTTATGCTACAGTGTGTGAGCCAGAGCCGGTGGGAGCCCGGCCAAACGCGCCCTATGACACCTGCTTCACAACAAACCACAAGCATCCCGTCAGTGTAACTGCAACCGGGAACGGAGCACGCTCACTGCTCACAATGTGTAAAAGCGAAAACCGTGGAGCACGAACGCGGACGGATCCTCTGCATCCAATCTACGGCGATTTCCTTTTCAAAAGAAGAAAAAGGTACCGCGATTTGCATATTCTCCAGCGTTGGCTTGACAGCAACAGTCCAGCGGAGTGAATTCCTGTCCGGCGTGCGCGGAGTGGACAGCACCCGCTGCTTCCCCGCTACCTGCCTAGCCGCCGCTCGCCACAGCAGAGCACACCACCCACCAGCTCCGGCGCCATGTCCCGCCCCGACACGGCCTCGCTCCTCGCCCCCTCGCCGCCGCTGGCAAAACCCCACCCGCGCGGCCGCTTCCTCTGCCTCCTCTCCTCCATGCTCGCCGTCCTCGGCGCCTCCCTCGCGGTGCTCCTCTTCTTCGCGCTCCAGCCCGCGCCCAACCCGGTCCCGAACTACGAGGCGCTCTTCCTCTCCCTCGGATCCAACGACACCGCCGCCTCGCACCTACGAGCGCTCACTCTCCACCCGCACGTCGCAGGGACCAAGGCCAACGCCCTCACTGCCCGCTACGTGCTCGACGCGCTCTCCTTCCCCGCCCACATCACGCCTTACTCCGTCCTCCTCTCCTACCCCGTCCACCGCTCCCTCTCCCTTTTGGCGCCAGGCCGCGGCGTCGTCACCTCCTTCTCCCTGAAGCAGGAGACCTACCCCAACGACCCCTACGCAGCCGCCGCCGCGGATACCATCCCGACGTTCTACGCGTACGCGGCCTCGGGGTCGGTCTCCGCGGAGGCCGTGTACGCCAACTACGGCCGCGAGGAGGACTTCGCCTACCTCGCCTCCCGCGGCGTGGACGTCGCGGGTAAGGTCACGTTCGCGCGGTACGGGAGGATCCACTGCGAGGACATCGCGCACAACGCGCGCGCCGCCGGCGCCGCGGCCGCGGTGGTGTACACTGACCCGCTGGAGTACGGCGGCGCACCCGGTGAGCGGTGGTTCCCCGACTCGCGGTGGCTGCCGCCCAGCGGCGTGCAGGTGGGGAGCCTGTTCCGGGGCGTGGGCGACCCGACGACGCCGATGTGGGCGTCGTCCGAGGGCTGCGAGCGCGTCAGCGTGGAGGAGGCCATGAACACCGATGACATGCCGCTCATCCCGGCGCTACCGGTGTCGGCTCAGGACGCGATGGAGATACACAGAGCCATGGGCGGGGCCGTGGCGCCGGCGGACTGGCAGGGCCGAGAGGGCGGCCCCGTGTACCGCCTCGGCCCCGGGCCGGCAGTTTTGAACCTAACGTATCTTGTATGTACAATTCGATTCGAGGCACCTTCGTCTTTTCGGTTCATTGCCTTGGGGCATGACGCTATTGTTTTGGATTTTGCAGGGGAATGATACGATGGCAACAATTGAGAATGTCTTTGCCATTATCGAAGGCGCCGAAGAGCCCGATAGGTAACTAGTTCCTTTTTTTATCTTGTTATTATTAGGTAACAAATTCTTGGTGGAATGTGACGTTGCATCTTTCTGTTTTGTCAAACCTTTGAAGTTCACGCAGCCCACTTGGGCAGTTGAGAGCACTACTTTTGTAGTGCTGTCGTTGACCTTATATACTAGATTATAGAAGGTTAAAGAGCGGTCTCTAAACTTATAAAGAGATGTCATTTAGATCTATGAACTTTGGAAATGTATTTCTGAGTCTCTAAAAGTGATGTACCACACATCCTAAACTTGTAAAATGGTACATGGTAAGTCTATTTGTGGACCATAGCGACCACTGCGGTGCATAACTTAACAAATTTAGAGACTAAAAATGTATTTTCAAAGTTTATGGACTTAAGTGGCATCCTTGACAAG